AAACCTAGAGAAAGCTATATCAGCTAATGAATCATAATCATTGGCCTGAGGAGTGCAGGTGGACAGGGTTCACAAGGAATTCAAACCCTTATTAATGGGGTTTCCAATTTAAACATTTAGGGCCCCCAAAAAAGTTAGCACTATTCAGGACCCATTTTTCAAAGAGGGGGGTCTAAATAAATTTGGAAAATGTCGCATTATAGAGGACCCCTTTACTAATCGAGATCCTACATTAGATCACGAAAATGCCAGGTGGATGAGGAAGAGGGGAAATAGGGATCAAGAAAAATTGAAGAATTGGTTTTGGGAGGTTTTTGACATGTTTTGACTTTGGGAGACACGACCTGAATCAATGCGGGTTTCGAAACACTTCAATGTTTTGACAATGAAACATCGCTTTCGGGTAGAGGAATGATGACCACGAACTGTGGAAGTTACCTTTATTGTGTTATTTTTACTCTATAGGCTTCATCGACTATTAATTAAATATAGTCTTCCCGGATGCAAAACAACGACTATTTTCTTGCCTGCCATTCCTTGCCTCCAGCCCAGCTCAAGAACCGTAGACAAACCGCAAATAAACCGTAGAAGGTATGTGCTTTTGTCATACACAATTGTTTTTTTGTTTTGTGGTGGAAGAGGTCACTCGAGCGGAAGTGGATTTCCCACAATAAAGAGTTGTTCCGTAATAAAACACACTCTTGCAACAGTGCACGTCTTAAAATTAATAGACTTTTGAAGCATTTTGAAGCATTGGGTTTATCGGACATGTCATATGTTGAAAATTAGTTCAGAGAGTCGATTGTTCATGTCACACCTTAGTCACGCCGCACCACTGAGAGGAACATCATCACCCCTATCTCCAGCACTCGTCAGACAAGCACTGGCATACACAATAGTACTTCTCCTGGGGTTGCTCGAGTTGATTGTGCCATACATATTGTGCCCTACTGAAAATAGTAGTAGCAAGTGCATCGCTGCTAGTAGCAAGGACGCTACAGACTCCATTGGCGTTTCCCGACCTTCCTGAGGCGAAGCCCAATGAGACTTGGAGAAATGGCTCGGCCCAGTGAAAACTCGCTCGGCGCACTCGCCGGTCTTCCATTCTTTTCGATGGCGTGAAACGCGGCCGAAGGTGTCTTCGCTCGTGCTTCTTCGCTAAGCAAAGCGAGTCTTTGATTCTGTGAGAGGTGTCCGCTTCGGCAGGTCCA